TCAACACAGACAATATGGGCAGCTCAACTCTAAACATTCACAGGAGGGTACAGAAAATAAACACAAAAAGCTCATTTTTTTGATTCAATAATTTCCAGAGCTCCATCTCTGAAGAATTCAAGATATTAAAACTCTTCGAATAGTCAAGAAATTAGCATTTCTAAATAATTTGGAGTACTTTACCACTGTGTTAAATAGTAGGTGTTCTTTAGGACAATACAGTCTGGTTGAACAGTGAGTTGTGTGAGGTGGGTTTTCTGGGGGCATATCCTTATTCATAAAGAGGTATTACATTTGCTGCTCATATTCTTTGTTCAAGTGAGCGATAGCAGTACTTTACTCAAAAGGTATTCCTTGAAGTGTCTACAAAATTATCCACATTTTCACTAGGACAGCACAGGTTAGAACTGCCAGTGAATAAAGAAAACACACCTTGAAGCAGAGAAAGTATGGGCAAAATGTACTAATTAATGAAGTTAACAGAAAGCAGCTTTAGAGACTTCGATTTTTGCATACTTTCAGAATGGCCAATGTGAAAAACAAGCGCCACTGCTTCTCCCTCTTCCAATACAGCAATACAAAATTACAGTTTTAGAAGCATTTGGGATGTTACCACACTTCTTACAATAATTACAGAGATTTTGCTACCATGCCCAGACTATAAACCATTCTTACCGAGTTCCCCCTGAAATTTCACTTTTAGGTTGCTGAGAATAACAGGATACATCATTCATGAAATGTTTAGTTTCATTCATCAAAATGTATGTGAAATCACTTCATTTACCAAAAACCAAATCAAAATTGCAAACAGAATTGAAACTATTTTTCATTAGACCTAAGTGGTATACAACTAGAATTTAAGCAGTTATGTCTTCATGGATAATGTTTTTGAATGGTACCAAACCCCATTAGTCCTAATATTCAATAGCTAATTAATTAAAAAGTTAATTTTTCTCACATCCTAATACAATCTACCACAACTTTCTGTTTAACCTCTACATTCAATTAAGGTATCTGACCCAAAGCACAGCTCTACCAGAAAAGATTGGGCTGTCAGCAGATGAGAATGTAGCTACAAATACTGCACAGATATTTGGACTTAAGGCTAAGCTACCAAGTTGATATTCCAAACTTTGCTGGCATCTGATTAAATAACCATTTCTCATCCTACCATCCAAATTAAAGTGAAGAATGGGGGGAACACAGGCCAATACACATTCCATGCTCAGCACTGAATTTTCCTTTGTTTTATGAGTTTTGAGTCATTTTACGCTTAAAAATAGCCAATTGAATTCCTTTTTTCTTAAATCTAGGCCAAATTAACAAAGACACTCCTTTCTAGGCCCAAGAATGTGCCACACAAGGGAATTTTCTACAATAAGTTTGCTTACTTGAGTTTATTTTCAGTGGGATGCTTAAATATCTCAGCTTTAAAAGTGTAAATAACATATCCCCTTTCTCAATAAATGGGGGACACCTTTTTTTTTTTTTTTTTTATGAACAGAGAAGTGTTTTTTCAGCACTAGCTTAATACAACAAAGATAATGCAAGCTACAGCCTCAGAGGGGAGGGGAAGCAGATGCTGGGGACTCTCTTTCAGAGATCTTTGTTAACTACCCAAGTCTAGCTTCTGTGGTATAAGAGAGAGAGGTGCACCCTAGATATTGGGTGCCCATAGAAGAGCTCACAATTACAGGAAGAAGATAGCCAGGGAAAAGGTCACTGGCCCCCTGCATGTTCTTTGAGATATAGATAGGTCTGTATGCCCTGATCCTGGATGCATTTAGTCTGAGGGATGTATGTATGTACACTTAAACACAACTGGAAAGCTGGCTGTGCAGTGGGTGGGGCAGAGTTTGAAAAGAGCTATTCTAGAAATCAACAGAATAGTAAAGCTTCCTCACTTAAATCAGAGGACATGGCAGAGGGATCACAAAAGCAGAATTTGTGAACAGTCAAGTTAGTTCTGTTTTAGCCTACTTTCCCCTAACCAGTATCTTATAAGGGTTCTATACATTCAAGGTATGGATGGGGTTCAAGATTCTCATGAAATTCTTCTATAAAATCAACGCCTTAGGAATTCATAAGTAAAATTAACACTCTTGTTGTCACAATGATCATAGTTACTAAAAATGAAATCTAAAGATGAGTGTGGTGTTTTTCTTTTTTTAATATTTATTTTTTAGAAGTAGTTGAACACAATACCTTTATTTTATTTATTTTTGTGTGGTGCTGAGGATTGAACCCAGCTCTTCACACATGCTAGACAGGGGCCCTACCGCTAAGCCACAACCCCAGCCCTGAGCCTGGTGTTTTTCATTAGCTCAGATACCTCTCTTTCCTTATTCAGGTCACAAGTTATTACTGAGGTATTTGTACCACCCTTGTATATATTTTCAGTGTCCTCTAGGAAGGCCTAGGGAGTTTATTATAATGGAATATTAGATCATCATGGGTCACCATGAGGACTTAATTCAGTTTGCACATATGCTTATATCTCTGAAGGAACATGACCCTGCACTCACACTCTTCATCTTAGTTCTCCTTTCTGTTACATATGATTACTATTTGTATACTTTGATTTTGTTGGATTCAGACTCTACTGAATGACTGGAACTTTAAGATCTACTCCAACCTAGACAACTGATAATCCTGTATCCTAGTATCACATTATTGTAACCTTAGTTATGGCCACATAGAATGTGTATACATATTTTAGATAACTCAAATGTCTAAAGCAGTGGTTCTAGGAAATTTTTTTAAAAATACAAAAGCCTAGATTTATACATTCAGTTTTAATTATCATGGGGTTGGTCCCCAATTCTAAATGCATCCCAGGAACTCTGATGTGCAGCTAGGATTGAAAACTATTTTGTGTACATTTAAGTCTTGTTTCTTTGATAAAAGAATCTAAAATCCCAAAGCCAAAAATTTCTTAAAGCCACAGAAAGTAGTAAATTGTCAAGATGCTTCTAAAGTGAATAAGGGCATGGCACACCAGGTTTCCTATATAGCTGATGTTAGCAATGTGGGCAAAAGAATAACTTGTGATATGGAATTATAGGAAGCTTGAAGTTATGACCCTTTCCCTTTAAATTCTAGAGAATTTCAAGTCATTGTCACCACCTGCCACATTTCCATATATTTCAAAATTTTCCATAGGTAGCTGAGAACCACTACCTGCCTGGAGGTGTCTGGTTCTGAATGCCATAAACATTCCAGAAAAATTTCAGCCTCCAAATGTTTACTTTCTGTTCCTTTAATAGGTACCTGGAGAGTTATTAAAAAAACCCACCAGATTTTGGTTATTAAGGAGGTTATTATCCTTGAGATGCAACTATAAAAATTAAACACTTGAATATTAAGAGTTTAATCAAAATGAACTTATCTCATTTAATTTTTTTTAAACTCTTAGACCTTTGAATCTTTAGGATGAAAAGCCAGAAGTATGAATTGTTAGGTTCCAACTGTTGGTTAACCACTCTTCAATTCCAATCTTTCTTTTTCATACCCCCCAAAATCAAACCAAACCAAACCTAAACTAAAATAAAACACAAAGCAAAAAAAAAAAAAAAAATCCTCTAAACTAAGACAAATGGTATGGAAAGTAGAATAGGTATTTTAAATTGAACTTTCAGACAGTTGTTGGTTTTTAAAAAAGTTAACATTGAAAGGGAAATGGATCTGTAGGGGGATGAGGCTATAAATGAAATCACAGTCTTTTATAAGTTAAATTCCTGGGATTCAAATATTCATTACCAGTATCCTGTGGTAGAGCAAAGTTTTTCCATACATTATTCTCTTTGTGGATGCCAAGACTCTTCACTTTATCATAGATTTTCACATCCACTAACCACCCATGAGTATTTACATGTATATATCTTCAACTAGTGCTGGAATTTCTGAATCTTGAGTGGCACTGGTGCATTCCAGGTTTCCACTGGGTAAGCTACCAAAAAGATGGACCAAATAGGAACTTGGGGTACACACAGTGTACCAGTCTACTTCAGGTATGGGGAGACAGGGGGATACTCAGGTTCCCCAAAGTAAGTTTATATCTAGAGAGCAACTCCCACTGGAACTATGCTTCTGGCCTTGAATTATGGTTTAATGGAATTCTAGAGAAAGTATTTTTTTCCGTGCTTGAAATATTTCACATACCATATTTCTACTCTGAAGGCAGTTCTATGTGGCAATCTGTTATAAAGGCTAGGACTCCAGAAAATAAGCTCAATTAGTAATATGTGGCTCCAGGTATAGTAAGTTAAGGCAGACACATTGGTTTGGTGAGAAGCTGATCAAATACAACAGGATGGGGAGAATTATTCTCTTCATGAACTAAGTCCTAAAACACCTTCATGCTTCCAAACACATCTCTCCAGACAGAACATGTCAGCTTTACAATGCATTAATTAGTTTCCATGAGGGTCACATTTTATTTATTCACCATATTTTTCACAGATATTTATTGCAGGTCAAAATTATCTTGTCATTCTGATGCAACTCACAATGTATTTTATTAACCTATAATTTATAGATGTGACTATAAAATCTAATAAATGATTATAAAACCTATAATTTATAGAAATTACTATAAAATCTATTATAAAGTACTTTATAAATCGGCATGATTTTTGGAACAAAATCCAACTTATGAATGTTCAGCTTTGAATTATCATGATAGTCAACTACTAAGAGATTATCTTGTCAATTACCTGTCAATAATTATCTGTACAAATATAAAGAGTACAAATCAAGATGTAAAAGAATGAAGCAAAAACTAAGATGACTGATACCCCCAAAAAAGTCAAATTTACTTTCTTACCTGAAATATTTTGTGTTTGGCCTTCTTGTTGAATTGGGAAGAGGTAAGATGAGCTGTGTCTTTTTACAGAAATAAGCAGTCTTCAGTGTTTTTACAGCATTGGTTACTACAGAAACTAGACTTCTTTTACTTCATGTCTTGAATGGTGAACAAAATAAAACAAACTGAAAATACTACAATGAATGGTAAATGATGAAAGATTTACAGTACAAAAAACAGTGTAAAAAGGAAGACAAGTTTAAATATTGTTGTGTAAGACAGCGATGAAAATAATACAAGAATGAGAATAAGTAAAATGATAGGCTGGAACATCTGGGAAGGTAAATGCAAAGACAAAGAGAAGAGTTAATTAATAATAATTTTTAAAACGTCCATTCATATTAACTAATTAAGTTATTCATTCAACTTAAAATAAGGAATTCTCCCATAAGCCTATATTTACAAAATCTAAAGTCTATAATTATACACAATGCTTTTTCTCGATTTACTTCTACTTTTTTCTAAGGATATAATGGGAAAAAAAATCACATGCTCACAATATTAAAAATCTACAACAAGGAAACTAAAAACCAAGTGTTTGATAAAATAAAAAGAAAAAAGTAAGCTTTAACTTTTCAAAATCCAACAAATTTCATCATAAAACATTTTTTTTTTCATGGCAAAGCACAGCAACATGCAAGATAAATAAGCAATGGGGTTGAAATTAGCTAGCTGCAACTAATAGGCAGTTAATCTCTGTCATGCTTATGTGCGTAAACTAATTTTTAAATATAAAATGTCTTGCGGTCTAAAAAGCCATGCATGCTGTTGTTCTTCCATGGGTTCTCCAGTGGATACAGGACACTGGGCTTGCCATAGGGGACAGCACTACCTTTTTTGTTTCACAAATTTTCTTTTATGTGGTTAACTTTGACAAAATGCATTGGTCTTTCAGTGGCCACCATACCTGGCCAAAGCAGCTCAGTCCAATTCATCCGGTGTGCCTCTACAAATCAGGATGGAGGAAAAATGCTGGTTTTCCCTGTTCTGGAATAGTTGTTACTATTTTTCTGAGTTAGTTTTGCCTTAAAGCTATGGTGTAATACAACCGTATTGCTCCTGGGATTCTCCATTATAGAACTGGCAATGATTGTCTCTAGAAATAATCATGTAATATCAACTTATAGTACAGGGGTGGCATCTATTTGTCCCTTTTGGTAGGTCTCTAGGCCAAGATGGGTCTCCTTACCACTGGTAGTTCTCCATCAATTGTTTTTGTTCAGAAACTTTTTTAAAAAGTCTTAAACTCAATTTGAATCTTGACTCAAAAACCTGAAATTGACATTTGAAGATTGCTATTGAGGATCTTCTTGTCACACAGTAAAGTAATATTGAAAAATGCTGACCTTCTAAAATAATATATATTAAAAATCCTTGAATCTTTACCCAAAAACTTGAGTGTGATGGTGTTAAAATTTCCCTTTAAATGAAACGGGAAAGAGTTACCAAGTGATTGGGATACAGAAATCTCAGGCCTGAATCAGGAGCACAGTGTGAAAAAAAAAAAAAAAAAAAGAACCCAGTGGGCCATCAAACCCATTAGGCTCTGAGCTAGGACTTCCCTAAGGTGGGGTCTGGTGTTCGGGCCGTGGAGACCACCCACGAGGGACCACAGCTCCAAGGGCCAGCCTTGCCATCGCCATGGCTCGCAATAGGCAGAACTGTACCTGACTCACGGATATGGGCTCCTCGGCGCCACGGTCGTCCGCGGACTTGGGCACCTCCAGGCGGTCGATGAAGGTCTGCAGCTCCTTGCGAAAGGCCTTCATCTGCGCGTTGATGCGATAGAGCAGCTCATGCTCCCGGATGCGGCTGCCGTCGTCCTCCTCATCCATCAGTCCGAACAGGTCCCCGTTGGTCACATAGATGCGCGCCTCGGTGATGATGGTGCTTGTGTCGGCGATGAGCCGGTCGATGGTCTTGCCCAGGCGTTCGGCCTCAGAACGGATGTCCTTCATCTGCTGCCTGTCGGAGAAGCTCTTGGGCCAGGGACCTGGCGCAGGGTAGAAGGAGCGGGTGGGCGTGAGGCAGCGGATGTTCCGCACCTCCTCCGAGTCGCTCTCGCCACCGATGGGCCCTTCCCGCTTGCGGTGCGGTGGCCGCGAGTCATCATCGCTCTCTTTCTTGCCCGCGTCGCTCTCAGCGTCGCTGTCGCGGGGGCTGCCACGGATGCCCAAGTGCGAGGCCAGGTCGTAGCGCTGCATGTTGGACATGAGCACGCGGTTCTCATACTGTAGCTGCATGACCTTGCCGCTGAGCTCGTTGATCTGCAGGCGTGCAGCCTTCAGCTCCTCCTGCAGGGCCTCCGTCTTGGCGCTGTCATGGTGTCGGGCACTGTCGTGGCTTCCAGACTTGTACTTGTACTTATTCAGTTCCGCAGTTATGCGCTTGTTCTGCTCTTCCAAGTCTGCCACGTTCCTCCGCAGCAGCTCCGTTTCGTCCTCCACCAGCTGCAGGTGCTGCCGCAGCTCAGAAAGGGATTCACTCTGTTCCCTCATGAGAGGGTTGGACGACCCATTGAAGTCATCGCCCCTGAGGTCGTCCAGTTCGGCCTTCAGGCCTCTGTTCTCCACCTCCAGTTCAACGATTTTCCTGCCCAGGATGTTAGCCTCTTCCTCCACCAACCTCAGCCTAAGCTTGAGCTCCGCCTCCCTGGTACTAGGAGGACCCCCAGCTTCTCCTTTGGGCAGGGGACTGTCCAGATCTCCATAAAATGATCTGTACTTCTGCAGCTCATGTTCGAATCTGTCCTTTTCTTTATCGATCTTGGCCATTTTCTTTCTCATCAAAGCAGCTTCTTCTTTAACGAACTGCAGCTGGCATTTCAGATCTTCATTGTCCTCCTCATTTAGGGAAAAGAGGGAAAAGGATAAAAGATCATTTTTATGTAAATTAAAAAAAAAACAAGAAAGGACACCTGCAAAAACAATTTTTTTTTTTTTTGTAAATAAGATTTAATGGCACACAGAAGTAGATGCTGTGTGTTTTCTCCAAACCATTTACATTCTTTGTCCAGGGAAAGATTAGGATACTATTATATCCTAGAAACACAAGAAAAGGAATATAAAACAGAACAAAACAAAAAGCTGATCATCACTATTTGGAGATCATTATGTTGTAATTGCACACAATTGTTTGGTGGTCATTTAAGAATGTTCTTTTTGTTTATTTTTTTATATGGCTGGATTTCCTTAACTGCAATAAATATGAAACCTATTTACTCTAAAGAACATGGTTAGTATGCACCTACTCACTGGCATTTATCAGGAAACTACTTTGATTCAGATGCTGTAAAGTTCTTTACAAATAAGACCAATTTTAATACTCAAAATAAATTTCTTAGGTAGGCATTAAGATTCCTGGTTTAAAGATGTCTAGGGAGTTGTTCAAGGTTAAACAGCTAACAAGTGGGAAAGAAGATGAATTTTGAGTTCAGTTGTCTGAAATTAGGGGTCATGATCACTCTGCCTTGCAGAAAACAATCTTTCCACCATCGTGATTTAAAGAATTATTTTAAAGTCAACTTTAGGGAAAAGTCTGACACCCGAAAGGTCCCTCCAAGGAGAATAGTGATGACCATTTACACCATTTTTAAAATAGGGTGCACTGCCACCAGTGTGAAATGGATAGAGTTGGTTCTACCTGTTGAAAGGATAATGCACTAGACCCTGTATAAAGTCCTCTTACACTTTCTTATGACAACTATCAAAGCCTCGTGATTTAACTAAATTGAATAGTACTAAAGTAGAAATGGAAATCCACTTTTTCTGAGAGTTTTTACAGAAGTGCATTATTATATATAAAAATGTTTCCCAAGGTTAATTGCCCCCCAATTCTTCTAAATATGTACTCTGGGCTGTTTAACTTCTGTGGGCTTTGGTTTCCTTATTTTATACATTTTATTTATTTATTTACTTATTTATTTGCAATGTTGGGGATCAAACCCAAGGTCTTGTGCATGCTAGGCAAGCGCTCTACCACTGAGCCATCCCTCAGTCCTCCTCATTTTAAAGTGGGAATAAAAATGCCTTCCTTACCAAGCACTCAGACGCCCCTGTGTTTGAGCTGCATTCTGGTAAAGAACTAGGGGAAGATGAGGAGAAAAACGAGCTGCTTTCAGAGATGCTCAGTAAGTATGGCCCAGAGTCTTTGAGATGGAAGAGATGGTGAACAGGGCACAGGCCTCCCATCGTCCTATCTGCTAATGGGAGTGTAAAGTGCTAGGAGCTGCTGATCTGAAAGCCTGAACACCACATTCCTTCTGTCACTAAATCTCCATGTCTGCCCCTTGTATAGAGGAATCCTAAGCCAGCAGAATATAAGTTAATAAGCGTAAGCACAGTCTGTATTCAGGCTGATTAAAAAACACATATTCCTTGCACTGCACATGCTGCCTCTAGAAAAGAAGCACAAAAGAAAAATAGGATGAGGGGGCAAAATTAAAGAAAGCAGATGTATTGGTTTGTCTACTTTCCTTTATAAGGGGTTTAGGGGAAAGGATGGATGCACAGAAGAGGTGATGAAAGAAAATCACCAGGGCATAGAAGAGGAAAAGAGGGTAAGCCACATAGAGCTTTGAAAAGAATCCATTTCAAAGGGGAGAGAATCTGTAAGAGACTGCCTTGAGATCAAGGACACATAACCAAGGTTAAGATCACATCAGCAGAGAAACCAATGGGAACTCTGAAGTTCTGAACTTGGGTATCCTTAAGAAGACAGGAGGGAGCTGGGCATGTGGTGCATACCTGTAATTCCAGAGACTCAAGAGCTGAGGCAGGAGCATCTCAAGTTTGAGGCTAGTCTCAGCAACTTATCGAGACCCTATCTCAAAGTGAAAAACAAAAAGGGTTGGGGATGTAGTTCAGTGGTAAAGCATCTCCTGGGTTCAATCCCCAGTACTGGGGGGGGGATAGAAAGAGAGAAAAGGTGTGAGAGAGAGGTGGGGGGAGGGAGAGAGGAGAGCAGAGTAAAAGAGGAAAAGGGAAAATAATATATATGTAATGGTCATGCTTTAAAAAATGGATCAGATCAACTTTTACAATACCACTTTAAAGTTCTCTAATGAGAAAACACGTTGTAATTTTTTTTAAAAAAATACAGACATTAGTGTTATATATCCTAACTTACATGTTTAAAGTCAATATCTAGCTAAGTGTTTTTGGAACCATAATGTCACTTCTGTCCCAAATATTTCCTATTCTGTTTTAGAATCTTCTTCATCATCACTTGCTTACCTTGGAAGCAGAGCTAGTCTTTACTGTGGCTGTGTTTCTAAAGTTCTTAACAAGCCCATAATGAGTACATCTTTTTCATTTGATTTTTATTCCTTTGTTTCCTTTCCTTTTGCTTCTCCTATCATTGGTTTAGAGAATTACTTCCTTCTTAGGTTCTCTAAAGACATCATAAACCTCTCTCTTCCTTCTACCATCCCTTCCTACAGCATTGCATTTTTACTCTCCTGTTACTATAGGAACAGCCATTCCATTGACCTTATTAATTATGAAAGAATGAGATTAGCACCTTGCATACAGTTCTCAAATACAGTAGCACATAAAAGACTAATGATATGTTGCTGTGTACTTACAATGTAAAAGCAATTATAATGGTGCTCTTACTGATGTTTTATGAGCAAATGTACTGAATACTTTATGCCACCTGTGTCCACAGCTACATAACTGATATGCATAATGTGACTATGTTTTGCGTAAGTCTATTTTGCCATTATGGCTATTTAAAAATATAGCTTATTATAATATACATTTACAGTTGCTTTATATGCAAGTTGAAATTTTATTTCCACATACCTCTGTGGGAGTCTGTTGAGCCTTTTTTTCAGATTTTGGCAAATCTTTGCTTCCTCTTCTTTTTAAGGATAACTGAAACAAAGCATGAATATGTTTAGTTTGGTAAACTATAATTTTAGTTAAACTAAAATCTTAATTCAATTTTTTTAAATGTCCTAACCTCATATGACAAAACCAAGACAAAAAGTTTGATCAATAACTATACAAGGAGAAAAAGTATCCAAATCATGTAGATTAAGATATAGCTTTACTTTAAAACGAGATAAAGAGGACAGTAGAATGTGCCTGGCAATTGCCTGATTAATTTGATAAATACAGGAAGCTTACTGTAAAAATGCAGAAAAGAACTCAAGTCAAAATGTAGTTCAATGAGTCAATATGCTATATAGTTCTAATGAAGGCAAATGCTTGTTAATATTCCACATCACTAAAGAAAATTAAAGGGAGATTAAGTTATTATTTCCAGTGTTAGAATTAGGTTGAAACAAGCTTGTAAAAAATTTTTTCAATGCATTTATGTAGGATTTAAAGACTCACGTTCTTCTCTCAACATACATCTATGCAAACAAGCGTGAAACATGCACATGTAATAGGGAATGATATGGGTGTGGTGAAATAAGAGGGCATGCTCCATCTCAGGAAGTAGTAGGTAGACTGGGAGCAGCTCCAGGACACAGGAATGTGAACTTTTTCAGAAAAAGCTGGGAATCTTCATTTCTATGTAAAAATTTCCCTCATTTTACTATCAAGTCCTAATTAAAATTCAAACAAGCACTTTGTAACTCATAGGATACTAACTAGTCCCAAACTGTTTCATGGACCAGCAACAAATAATCTTTTGATGCTGAGTTCTATTTCTCACACCAAATTTACAGCAAATGCTGGTAAATGCCATGCATTAGGCTCTGTGAAGCAGAGACTTTTCCTTAGTGTGGCATCACCTCCATGAGAATAATAATGCTTGCTACTTGGAAGACTAGAAAAATACTTGCTGAACTAATGAGTAAATATCAACTATGAAGTTCTGAAGTTAAAAAGAAGGATGACAGACGTGGAGACTGACACTGACAGTAAAAGCAGGAATGGCTACTCAGAATGGGAGACTTCTTGAATTTGTAAAGAACTAAAATTATAATTCTTTACATGTCAATGTCTAACCCATGGGAATATTGTTTTGATAAGGGTTCTTTTTTTTTATGTGTGTGTGTGTGTGACCAAAAGACCAAGAAGAACAAATTTAGAAGAGGAAAAGCTTATTTGGGGGCTCCCAGTGTCAGAGGTCTTAGATAGCTGGCTTCATTTCTTGGGGCCTGAGGAAAGGCAGAACATCATGGCAGAAGAGTGTGGCTGAGGAAAGCAGCTGGGAACATGGCACGCAGGAAGCAGAGAGAAATAGACTTCATTGACCAGGGACAATATATATATATATATATATATATATATATATATATCCCAAAGGCACAATCCTAATAATCTACCTTCTCCAGCTCCATCCTGCCTGCCTTTGGTTACCACTTAGTTAATTAATCCGTATCAGGGAATCAATTCACTGATTTGGTTAAGGCTCTCAAAACCCAATCATTTCACCTCTAAACCTTCTTGAATTGTCTCACACATGAGCTTTTGAGGGACATCTAATATGGAACCCATAATACATATTAAGGCACAGATGGCAGGGGGAATAAGATATTGTTGCAACTGCTTTTATTCAGTATGCAGTGAAAGGACACAGAGATAAGCAGCCCATGTGATTATTCATTTTAGTTCTTTCCAGAAAGATGTTCTCTATGTTGCTTGTATAATCTTTTTTTATATATAAATGAAAGTTATAAGGATTAACTTACCATATCTGAAAGTGATTTATGAATCAATTAGCAAAAACAATCCCAAGAATACTAAGAATATATTGAGCTGAATACGGAACCTGGAACACTCTAGGCAGTCTACTTATAAGAAACACTAAATTCATCTTACTAAATATTTTTAAGTGCTTTGATATTGAATTCATTTAATTATATGTTTATTTAGTAATTATTAATGCACTTCATAAGGTGCCTATGCCACAACAATAATAAAATGACGTGATCTCAGTTCTCTATGGGGTTTCCAGATTCCTCAATATGGTCTGTTCAGTTTGTAACTCATTACTGATAACATAAAGATGATAATTACTGGCATTGATTGAGCATTAATTCATTTTTTTACATACATTATCTTGACTAATTTTTAAAACACCCTTTAAACTCCCTTTGAAAATGGTTAACCTAAACCTAAGAAAGGTAGATAAATTATCTACAGCAGGGGTTCTCAAAATGTGATCACCAGAAAGCATCATCAATGTCACCTGCAAAGTTGTTGGAAAAGACTTACCCCAGTGATCTATGACTTAAACTCTGTCAGTGATTCTGAGGCCAATGTTCCCACTGTCTAAAGTTACTGCTTGCTAAGTAGCAGAATCAGAACTTTACCCAAGTCCTTCTGATCTCTGGGATCTATTAGATTTCAGAGGAGAAAGGCTTAATCCAGTCTGGGGCTGGAGACAGTTGGGTAACAAGTCATGATTTTCAGAATGAAGTAACAGCTTCATCTCAAATTTGGTAGGTAAGTATTAAGCCAACGAAAGAGAAAAAAGAAAAGGAACATAATACTTTGTGGAAAAAAGAAAAAAGAAGAAGAAGGAGAAAGAGGAGGAGAGAGAAGGAGGAGGAAGAAGATAAGGAAGAAAAGGAGAAGGAGGAGGAGGAGGAAGAAGAGGAGAAAGAGGAGGGGAAAGAAAATCTAGCACACAAAGAAAATTCAGTATAACTGAGACTTGCTGGTATCAAAGGTCAAATTTTCAGGACATCAAATACAGTTTGGATTTTATCTCATGCAAGTGAATAGCTGTTCTAAGGCTAACTAGGAGCAGTGATGGGTTTTAAACAAGGACAGTCACAGACTGACATTGTTAAGATGGCCAGAGGTGGTGGTGCACACCTATATTCCAGCCATTCAAGAGGCTGAGGTAGTAGGATTGCAAGCTCAAGGCCAGCCTCAGCAGATTAATAAGACCCTCAGTAACTCAGGGAGACCCTGTCTCAAAATATAAAGAACTGACGATGTAGCTCAGTGGTAAAGCACTCCTGTTTCAATCTCCAGTACCCAAAACAACAACAACAAACAAAAACCCCAAAGATGCAGGTAGAAGTCCAGAAGATCATGAGAGAAAGGAATGACATTCAAGGGTTATGAGGGAAAGTACGATCAATTTCTGGGAACTTCGTCTTTGGTCCTTGTGTTTCATCCACTCCACAAACATGTTGAGTTTCTGGCATAAACATGTACTGGAAGGTCAACCAATGTGACTAAGAAATATCTTATTCTCTTGCTAAAGAGCTAACTATATGTGATGACTAAAAAGGAGGCACAATTAACTAAGAGCAACAATTGAACAACAAACAAAAGACTGCGAGAAGTGATGGGAGAAGTGATGATTCCAGATTCAGGAAATCAGGGAAAATCATTCAAGAGGGCTGCTGTTGGAAGAACGTGTAAAATTTCAACAGACACAAAACTGAGTAAATAACAGCAGGAAAGATAAGGAGGAATGAGTGTGACTAAGAGATGCACCAACTTCTGAAGATAAGTAATGGAGATAGAGCCACTGTAGAGATGGGGGTAGAAGAAGATGTTGGAAAGACTCAGGTCAGCTTGTGGGACTGAGAAATTTAGAGTTCAGCCTGTCGGCAATGTTAAAATGAGAACTCTGAATTAATACAGGGGGAATACTGCATTCTTTCCTAAGAGGCTACTTTACTTTTATTTAAGTACCATTCAAGTTGGGTGTTAAACTTGAATGAAGCTCTGAAAAGAGGTTTCCCTTGAATAAAGGTGCATTGTCTTAAGGTGTCTCAAGGACTGCTAAGGCCTCTAAGTGTCACGTTCAAATTTCTAATAAATATTTAATCATCTTTTATTATTCCAATAAGTTTTGATTGACTTTCTGACTTCTATGAAACAAAGTTGTGAGATTTATAAGGTTAGAGAAAGAAAGTCAGTCTGAACAATCCCTTTCCTATAAGGAAAAAAAACTGTCATTTCCGCTGTTACCATCCTGCCCCGCCTTTATCTTCTACATCTAGTGACCTCCACGAGGGGAGCATGTGGGAGGCTAGAACAAATCTCAGATTTTCATCCTTCTTGGCAAACCAGGCACTTCAAATGGTTCTCCAGAAAAATGTGTTGAAAACATTTCTTGTTCATTTCTTAATTCTTCGAATTCCCAGCCTCAGATTATCCAAAAGAGAAGGCTGTTCTTTTTAGCAATGAGAAGGCCAGGAATTAGAGAGTTTTGCCAATAATTATGTTTGCACAGCAATTACATAAAATGGATGGTTTGTGTTCTAAAAATGTTTTCAGATTGCCTTTCTTTCTCAATTGAAATCTGGTGCACTTACTAATAGGTAGCATTTTTAAGTCTTTAGTAATTAAACCTACCTAAAATGCTACCAAAAGGTATGTATATATGGACATGTATGACATGTGTATGTGCATAAAATCAGATTGATCTGTTTGTATGGTGATTAAATCAAGAAGAATCGCTACATTAATATCTAGGACTTAAATATGTGCCATGACTTGGCTGAGTACTTTACATGTATCTACTCATTTAATCTGACAACAGCCTTATGAGTTAGACATCATATTCTGAAGTACACAAAGGACAAAGAAGAAATCACCCAACTAGTAAGTGATTGAACCAGAACCCAGTTTCAGAACTCTGGCTCTGACAGCTACATTACGTTGTGGTTCCAAGGGGAGAAGATTGTAAACTAGCAGACAGGGTTTTATTATTTCTGAGCATATCCTTTTCTATGCTCTCTGGGCATGGCCAAAGGTTGGGACACTAATTGACATATTCTACACATGTGTAATATGTCTTTGTATTTTCAACATAGGAGCCAGCAGAGGTGACATACAAACTTACTGCTTCTCATAGTCAATCTGTCACATTAAGAGGGAGGCCCAGGGATATCTGACTGAAGGTTGGAGGAAAACTCAAAGACAGAGGACTCTGTTTCCACCAGGTCCAG